TGAGGGGTCAGATTTTCACCTGGCAATTTTTAAAACTGTTTGCAGCTGTGCAGTTGTGCTTGGTCGTGCCTATAGACCACTTTCTGTGACCAGATTGGGTGAAAATTGTTGCTTCTATCTGTGCCCTTGTTTCCTGAATGATCCAAGCCCTCGCTATACTTTGATTGACTATGTATTGTAGAAGTTTTTCTTGAATATCAGGATATGAATATAAAAATGAGCCTGTTCCAATGAATATATGTGAGGTGGAAAGAAGCACAGATTCTGAAAAGTCTCTTAAGCACTGCAATTTTCAGGTGATAATCCTTTTTCTTGACAGATTAGGAATCCCTAATCTTGGTATAGATGAAAAATACCAGGATATCCTTTTGAACTATGGTCATGATGTAGAGATGGTCTCTAAATTGTACACCAAACAGAAAAATGATCCGCCTTTGGCTCGTAACCTGCCTCCAATAGCTGGTAAGATCTTGTGGGCACGCCAACTTTTCCACAGGATCCGGGAACCAATGGATCTTTTCCAGCAGCATCCTAATATCCTGCAGTCAGCTGAAGCCAAGCGCATAATCCGCAACTACAACAAAGTGGCAAAAGTCCTCTTGGAGTTTGAGGTTATTTATCACAGAGGATGGATGCAGCAGGTAAAATTGCTCATTTGATACTATGATTGTTAGTGAAAGTGTCTCTAGCATATTTCAGATACCATTAACATACTTAAAGATTATGGATTTATTGCATTAGGTACTGTTCAAATACAGTATACTAAGAACCACTTGTCTGAGGAGTGTCATTGGATAGCAAATGTCTCCAGTTGACATGCTTGACCCTGCCATAATTTTTAGCTTTGAGGAAATGATGGTAGGCTTGATGCCTACCTGGCTGGGGTCATTTGAGCCCAGTTTTCTTCCTGCCCAGGCAGGGGGTTGGACCTGAAGATCTGCAAGGTCCCTTCCGACCCTACTTCTATGATTCTATGAAATGTTTGGTGGGTAGTAGAATGACCAGGCAGGTGGCATAGTCACTGCCATATGGTTGCTTTAGGGCCTGTGGTCAACAGCTAACTTCAGAGAACTTTATAGGCTACTTAGAGTGGAATTGGGCTGCTGTAGAATACAACTGATGATCAAGGTACCATAATAGGCATATTAGCATCTTATCACGCTCTGTGTCCTACACCTTGTCGACTCTGGTTGTTGAAGGCACTCTTTAACATTCTTGTGAAAGGTTTAGCTCAGTTCTTAAACAGGCAAACATCCTACACAGTACAGGCAAGCTGTATTCTTGCTGTTACTACTACAGTGTTAGGGGACTGTCTGAGATGCATTCAGACCTCAGTGTATGAAACAACAAGGTAAGGGTTATACTCTGTTGTTGGTACAGGAAGGAAAAATGAACCTCCTCACATGGCTTCTTTTCCAACCTGTACTTTCTGCTAAAGTAAAGTGGTAGAAGTTGATCAACATGTCAAGTCATATCTTATTTTATCAGGTTTTTGTTATTCAACAATTTCAAAGTACCTAGTGGAGAACAAGGTGATTGGCAATAGCCAACATGGGTTCACCAAAAGCAAGTTATGCCTGACCAACTTGATTTCTTTTGGTATTCAGGTGACAGGCTCTGAGCAGGGGTGGAAGAAGAGTGAATGTGTAATGTACCTTGAATTTAGCAAGGCTTTCAACACTGCCTCCCACAACGTTCTTATTAATAAGCTAGGGGAATACAGCCTAGATGAAACTAGATAGAACAGCAGTGGGCAAAATATGGCCCGCAGGCTGGATCTGGCCCACCAGGCTTTCGATACGGTATCCCACCCCATACTGGTGAACAAGTTAAGAGGCTGTGACTTGGATGACTACACAGTCTGGTGGGTGGCGAATTGGCTAGAGGGTCACACCCAGAGAGTCGTAGTGGATGGGTCGGTTTCGACCTGGAAGGGTGTGGGCAGTGGGGTCCCGCAGGGCTCGGTCCTTGGACCAATTACTCTTCAATGTCTTCATCAGCAACTTGGACGAGGGAGTGAAGTGTACTCCGTCCAAGCTTGCAGATGACACAAAACTGTGGGGAGAAGTGGACATGCTGGAGGGCAAGGAACAGCTACAAGCAGACCTGGACAGGTTGGACAAATGGCCAGAAAACAACAGAATGCAGTTCAACAAGGAGAAATGCAAAGTGTTGCACCTAGGGAGGAAGGATGTCCAGCATACCTACTGCCTAGGGAATGACCTGCTTGGTGGCACGGAAGCGGAAAGGGATCTTGGAGTCCTAGTGGACTCCAAGATGAACATGAGTCGTCAGTGTGACGAAGCCATCAGAAAAAGCTAATGGCACTTTTTATCGTGCATCAGCAGATGCATGACGAACAGATCCCAGGAGGTGATCCTTCCCCTCTGGGCGCTGGTCAGACCGCAGTTGGAATACTGCGTGCAATTTTGGGTGCCACACTTCAAGAGGGACGTGGATAACCTGGAGAGGGTCCAGAGAAGGGCCACTCGTATGGTTAAGGGCTTGCAGGCCAAGCCCTATGAGGAGAGACTAGAGAACCTGGACCTCTTCAGCCTCCGCAAGAGCAGGTTGAGAGGCGACCTTGTGGCTGGCTATAAGTTCATCACGGGGGCACAGAAGGGAATTGGTGAGGTTTTATTCACCAAGGCGCCCCCGGGAGTTACAAGAAATAATGGCCACAAGCTAGCAGAGAGCAGATTTAGACTGGACATTAGGAGGAACTTCTTCACAGTTAGTGGCCAAGGTCTGGAATGGGCTCCCAAGGGAGGTGGTGCTCTCCCCTACCTTGGGGGTTTTCAAGAGCAGGTTGGATAGGCATCTAGGTGGGATCATCTAAACCCAGCCCTCTTTCCTGCCTATGCAGGGGGTCAGACTCGATGATCTATTGAGGTCCCTTCCGACCCTAGCATCTATGAATCACCAGGCCATTGTACTCAGCCTGTGGGGTCCCTAAAAAAAAAATTTAGAAAATGTTTATTTTATCTGCTCCTGGCTGCCTTTCAAAGATGACAGGAGAAAAGGGCAGTAGAACCTGGGGGAAGTCAGCAGAACTCAGTAGGAAGTGAGCCCAGCCTGGTCCCGGCCCCAACCCCAACTGGAAGCCTGTGCCCGCCACAGCTTTCACTGCTTCCCTGCCTGCTCACCTACCACTTCAGAACCATGTGGCCCCGGGAGCATTGCCAGACCGTGGGAGCACAGGGCCTGTGCTAGTACTCCAGGGCCATGAGTGGGAGGGTGTGCGCATGAGCATCCCTGCAATGAGGGAGGGGGAGTGGAAAGACAGAGAGAGCAATAAGGGAGAGAGAGACTGTGTGTTCATAGGGTGAGTCCCATACACACACTCCACCATACACATGCACCCCTCCCCTTGCACTGCCATACCTACCTACCTACACCCCAGCCACCCTCCCTCCCACACAGTCCTCCACAAACCCCATACCCCACATATCCACACACCCCCACATGTCCTCTCACCTCACACTCACACCCCCACACCAACGGCCCCTCACAGATCGATACCCATTCCTATGCCCCCCACCCTCTCCCACATAATGTACAAGAGTAAGACTTCATTTTTAGCTATTGTGCAATTACCTCTATGTACACTACAAAACACATGTAAATCGGGACATTTTTTTTTTTTAAATCAAATTAATGAATGTTGTAGATGTTTGATTTTTAGAATATATTTTTGGTAACTTTCTGGTTCTGAAATGGCGAAACCACTTGGTGAAAGGAGTACTTCTGGGGGCAAGGGGAGGGCCTTCTGCTGGTAAAGGTCAGGGACTAGGGGGTGGGGCTTAGGATCACAAGATGGCAACCACGGGGGCGGGGGCAGCTATCAAGGGGCAGAGCTACCCATGTGGCCCTTGATGGCTTTCCTAAACTTGATAAGTGGCCCTCTGTCTGAAATAATTGACTGCCCTGGAGATGGATTCATAACTGCTTGTATCATCACGCTCAGTGAGAAGTCATGAATGGCTCATTGTCTGGCTATGAGAAGGTATGGCAGGGCACTGTTTGTGCCTGCCACCTTAAGACCAGAGCCAAGTAGCCAGCAGGTGCCTGATTACAGCAGCCATTTTTAGGTTTAGGGCTGCCTGTATAAGCAGGGCATTTTGTTACTGTCTGGCCTGCCAGAAGCATCGCCTCGCTGCAAGTCTTCATGGATCATCTTGGAGGTAAGGGAGGAGCTGTAGGGGATTTTCTGGAGGCTCCTGGTCCTGGGCATGACCTAAAACTGCACCCTGAGTATGGGAGCCCCCAGGAAATGCCAGGCCAGTTACCATCCCAGTGAAAAGTGGGTTGAGGTGCCTTAATCCCAGCTCTCACAACTGGGTGGGTCACCTGCTGATAGGGTCCAGTGAGGGTGGACCCCAGGAGTGAGGGTGGGGCTAGAGGCTCAGAGGCCTGACTGAGAGACTCTGACCAGATTGAGAGAGTACCCTCGACTGGTCAATGCTGGGGCCAGGACCAGGACAGTCAAAAGAGCCAGGGGCCCACCACAAAGAATACCCAGAGCTTAGGAGGGTCTGGGATTTCTAATTGGCCTTGGAGGTGGGGCCAGGTCCTGGGGGGACCACACCTGAGACGGGGAAAATGGTTTCAGGGATGTAGTTGGCCTGGCCTACCCTACCCCACCCTCGTTCAGGCTATGTGAATGGAGGGATCTTAGAGAGGTCCTGATAGGAGGATTCTGGGGCCAAGTGTGGGGCCGGTGAGAGTAACAGCTGGATGCTGCCTGCGAGGCATGGGCTGCAGTGTAGGGCAAAGCATGGGCTGTGGTGTAGGGGAGGTACGGAGCTGCAGATAGCGCCCCCTGGCATGGGGGCAAGAAAATGGGCAGCCTCCTGCCTAATTAACATCAATTAATTAACAACAAGGCATCACAGACAAGAGGGTGGGCAGTTGGCCCAGAAACAGGTGTGCGGGGCATTGGCAAATGGGCCCTGAGAGAGCCCCCTGTTACAGGAGATATCAAGTAAGGTTCCATGGGGGTCTGACCTGGGTCTGGTATTGTTTAACATCTTCATTATTTGGATGGTAAGATTGAGTGCGTGCTTAGTAGATTTATGGGTGCCAGTGAGTTGGGTGGAAGTACAGCGGACTGGAGGGTAGGGCTAAGATCCAGAATGACTTAAACAGTCTGGTGAAATGGTCCCCAGTCAATCAGATGAAATTCAACAAGGATGAATGCAAGTCTTGCAGCTGGGACAGAATAATTGTATGCACAAATAAAGATTGTAGAAGGACTGGCTAGGATCCAGTACTATATTTTTTTTGTTTGTTTTGTTTTTTAAATCTGGGGCAGAGCTTACAGTGGGCCATAAGCTGAATGAGTCAACAGAAGGCTTTGTATCCACAAAAAAGCCAATAGAATACTGGGTTGTATTACAGAAGTCTCTCTTCCAAATCAAGGGAAATGATTCTTTCACTATATTTGGCCTTGGTAATGCCTCTCTTGGAACTGTCTCTGGTTTTGGATCTCCCATGTTGCAAGCAAGATGTAGACAGCAACAGAAATGATCAGAGATCAGAGATAGTAAGTTGTTACACTGAATGAATAATCCTTTTTTGAACACTATATGTGAAAATGAAAGATTTTATCCCAAAATGGGATAATTGACACTGAATTATTGCTTATAAATACACTTTTATCTAAAATGTAGCCTGTTACAATGAACAAGAACAATTGGATGAACATGAGGTGGTGTAAATAGAGCAAAAAAAGCTATGGCTGAATAAGTGCATTAAGAACAATAGATCACTTAGGGAGCCTGTAGAAATGCAGGGATGCTGCTTTGATGCACTGTAATTACAGCGCATCAGAGCAGATTCTATTCATTTTATAGTTTAGGTATACACTTATATTTGCATCTATATAGGGAACATATTGCCTGGTTGGTCTTGACAGGTTTCTTGAATGTTGTCTTTCTTTCCTGCAGGTTGAAGTAATTAAAGCTGGCCTTCAGGCATCTCTGCTGGTAAAAGAGCCAGAGACAGGAGAATTATTTGTAAATTTTGACCCTCAGATATTGACTCTACTTAGGGAGACGGAGTGTATGGCTCATATGCATCTTGAAATCCCACCATTTGCAATTGCTCTTCAGCAAAAGCAAGACTCGTACAAGAAGAAATATAATAAGGTGCAGGTAGGTTTATTTTATTCATTTTCTATATATAGCAGCTCTCAAGGTATCTAAGCACTACTGGAAGAAAGTAAAACAAGATTAGAGAAACTCTTGAGCAGAGAAATGATAATTTGGAAATAAATGTATTAGTTCATCTCTATCTTCTTTTAATGCTGATTTTCAGATGCTACTTAGTTTTGCTTATTATATAACTTGAGCACAAGAGAAGAAGTGCCTTGTCAGGAAGGCACTTAAGACTGGAGGGAAGGGTAACAATTTTTTAAATTTTATGGAGTCAGAAACAGAATTACATGGCTCCTTAGGGAAGTCAGTTATCCTTTTGGGTCCACTTTCAGCACAGTGACTCTGCATAGCCATATGGCAGGTTGACCTAGCAATCGTTTCTAGAAGTGGTGCGTCTTGGAGAAGCACAATTTCCAGAAATGCATAGCTGAATTGTATATACAAAAAACTAGAACTCTTGGTTCCAAAATTATACCTTTTTATGAGACCAACTGGAAAATGGCAAGAAAATTGTCCTTTTCTGCAAGCTTTCGGGACCAAAGTCCCTTCGTCAGGCTCTGGGGAAAAATGTAGATGGTACAAGATGGTAAAAAGTCCCCATAGGTAGGAAATAAACTTCATTTTTGCAAAGAGAGAGCTGAAGATGGAAGTCTGTCCCTCTGGGTCCATGAGAGTGTCTTTCTCAGCAGTGTTGAGTAGCTCTTTGTGTTGATCAGGTAGAATTCCTTCCCTGAAGGTGTCAGATGACTGTACCAGCTTTTAGCATACATCAGATAGCATGCAAGTCTTTTCTGCGGGCAAAGGGTTCACTCCCCTTCTCAGGGATCATGGGCTTCTTCCCTGTGCACAGCCCTGTTCTTGACTAAATCACCACTGTCACAGAGCTGGGGCCACAGGGGTGGCTGTGATGCCCCTGGTGGCTCTGTGACCCTGCAAGCTCCATCTTGAAGGCACCCTCTTATCTCATCTGCCACATCTTGTTGGTAAAGTAAATTGGGAGGCTGCCCACGGACTTTCGCTTGGTCCCGGTCTGCTGAACCTCACTTGAGCTCACTGGTCTTTGGGCCCTTTGCCGGGCCTCTCTTCAGTACAGTGCTGCACAGGGTACCTCAGGCCTTATGGGCCAATTTCCTGGCTCCAAACCTCTCCTTTACTATGCCCCGAGCCTTGCAGGTGTTGCCTGAATATTATTCCCTCTGTTGGGGCTTCTGCCTACTCATCCCCTACCCCTTCAATATAGCTAGGCCTTGTAGCCTAGACCCACTGTGTTGAGCCCAGCTTTGAGGCACTAGTTCTCAATCACTTCTTATCATCAGGCTCCTGGCCCTTGTCTGCTGAATCCCTCTGGTGCTGGGCTCTCTGGCCGTCCTGTAACTCCACCCACCTGGCACTGGGATTCTACTCAGTCATGTGCCTCCCTCTGGGCACTAATGAGGCCTCCTCTCCTTATAGCCTCATCCCAGTCCACCAGTTCAAACACTAACACAAATCTAAGCCCCTGGGCTATAACACGCCTGACATCTGATTCACCAGGTACCTGCCAGACCTGACCTCTTACATTTTTCCACCCCCACCTTTTCTCCCCTCTCCTCCCCTTTCCTACTTTTCTGCCCTTCGTCTTTCTAATTTCCAGCTATTTTCCTTTTCACTGACTGTGAAGAAATCCGCTCTCTCTCTCCCTGTTTTGCTGTGTCTTATTTGGGCTGCATGCTTTACTTCCTCCCATCCCCACTTACTGTATCCAGATCCTTTGTCTTAAGGTTCCCACCAAGGAACATGTGGGACCAGTTTCATGATGCTGGCCACTCCACCAGGGGTTCCTGATGACTTCTTTTAAAAGGATTAAGCTACGTCAGCAGTGTTCAGAAGATGCTTGTTTCTGGTTGGAACCAGGTGATGAGGTCAGAAAAGTTTTTATTTAAGGGTCAGGTTACCTGGTCTGGCGGGGCTTCCTCCAGCAGGCATTTTGGGAACACACACCAAAGCATGGGCCTCCAGAATTCTTTGAGTGTATATACAAGTAGCTTACCTATAATTTAACTATTAAATTAGGGTTACATATCTTTAACCACATGTTTCATAGATTGTAAGGCTGGAAGGGACCTTGGAAGATTATTGGGTGCAGCCCCCTGCACCAAGCAGGAGAGAACTGGGGGTCAGGTGACCCCAGCAGTCTCCTCCTGAAGATTTCCAGGGTAGGTGGTTGTACCACCTCTGGAGAGAGCTTATTCTACAGTCTGGACACCCTGACTAGAGAAGTTTTTTTCCTACTGTTGAGCCTGAATCAGTCTTCTAGGACTTTGTGGCCATTACCCCTAGTTTTCCCCTTTGGGTGCCCTGGTGAACAATTGCTTACTGAGCCCTTGATGCACTCCCCTAGTGTAGTGGTAAGCTGCTGCCATGTCCCTTCTCAGCCTTCTTTTCCTCAGCCTGAAGAGTCCCAGATCCCTCAGCCTTTCCTCCATATGGCTTGCCAGGTAAGACTCTGATCATATGGGTGGCTATTCTTTGGACTCTCTCTCAAGCTTGTCCATGTCCTTGTTAAAGTGTGGTTTGCAGAACTGGATACAGTACTCCAGCTGTGGTCTCACCACTGTAGAGTAGAGCGGAAGAATCGCCTCCTTGGTTTTACTGGAGATGCATCGATTGATGCATGCCAGAGTATTATTTGCCCTACTGGCTACAGCATCTCACTGCCAGCTCATACTGTAGTCTATTTTTACCCCCAGGTCCATTTCATTCATGGTGTTAGTCAGTTTGGTGCCACCAAGCCTGTAGGTGTTTGGGGTTGTTCATCCTGAGGTGGAGCACTTTACATTTCTAGATGTTGAACTTCATCAGATTCCAGCCCACCCAACTTGCTAGCCTGTCTAGGTCCACCTGTAACTGTAGCCTATCTTCAAGCATGACTACGCTCTCCCATAACTTGATGTCATCCGCAAACGTGGCCAGTGAGCTCTTCACCCCCACATCCAGATTGTTAATAAAGATGTTGAAAAGTACTGTACCAAGCACTGACTCCTATGGGACACTGCTGCCCACTTCTCACCAGGATGACACAGATCCATTCAATATGACTCTCTGGGTCCTGTCCTGCAACCAGTTTCTCATGCACCTGACTGTCTTGGAGTTAAGCCCACAATCCTCACAAGAAAATTGGAGAACATTGTGGGATACTAGATCAAAGGCCTTTTGGAAGTTTAAGTATATAATGTCAACCTACTCTCTTGTGTCCAGGTGGCAAGTTACCAGGTCATAGAAGGAGATGAGGTTGGTAAGGCAAGAACTGCCTGCAATGAAGCCATGCTGGCTGTCATTCAGACTTCTCTCTATATTTAAGTTGGTCACCAGGTCATCTCCTTTGGCCAGGACCAAGTCTAGAAGAGCCTCACCTCTGGTTGGCCCATGCACCTTCTGAGTCGGGAAGAGCTCGACACAGGTCAGAAAGGATCACAACTGATCCAGCTTGGCCAAGTGTTCCTCCCAGGAGATGTCTGGATAATTAAAATTGCCAATGATGACCATGCCATGTTCACGTGTGGCCTCAGTCAATTCTTGGGTGAATTCCAGATTGAGTTCCTCCCCCTGGTTTGGTGGTCTGTGTTTAAAAGGGCCAACAAGCCCATTCTGTTTTGCTCAAGGTGTTTTCTTTAATACTCCTCTGTCTTGTACCCCTCTCCCATTTCCCCCTTTTCTGATTAATAAAAGCTATCTGTTACAGCATGCCTAGCTGTAAATGCTTGGGGGTGGAGTGGAACAGGCCTTTTTGCTCTTAGCAGGGGTAAGCTGATTATTATCTGATTCTGTCCTACGTAAAAACATCCTTGGTGGTTTCAGGCTATAAGGAGCACCAAGAAATACTACCAGTGGGTGAAGCACCCCGAGGTCTGCAGGGTCTGTGTACCCTAGGCTACACAGAGCCCTAGGCGAGACAAGAGCCCGGGTGGTGGCAGCAATTACCCCAGGCTTGCTGGTATGCTCCAGGAAGGGGGTCGGTCAGAAGTAGGTGCGCCCGGGAAGACACCCAAAGCATGGCTTTGGTCGGGCACAGTGAGGCGGATGGCTCAGCATAGTAGCACTTCCTACTGTCCCGCCACACAGAGCCTCTTTTCTACGTTGAATCATTACCACTGTAGTGTCTCCCTGACTCACCTTTTGGCTTCCTGCCTTTCCCTGCTTCTGTTTTTCTAATTTCTACCTATTTACATTCTCACCAACATCCTGCCACACTTCTAGCTTCTCTCATTCCTTGGAGTCTCAGAACAGCAGAGACTCCCTATGCTTGAAGAAGGGTGACTGCACCCAAAAGCTTGCTAAGAACTTTTTTCCAACTACTTAGTTGGTCTAACAAAAGATATCACATCTACCAGAGGAACCTTGCCAGGACTATAACATAACAGTAACAATAAAGGCAGTGCTATAACCCATTAAGAGGGCAAACTCCCACCTTTTATACCCCTTAGGCTTGGGTACCTGTGAGCTCTCCTAGAGTTATCTCATTTGGAGGTAGCAAAGCAGGCAGCACAATGTCAAGTAGCTCTTTTGTGCCAGGGCTTTGTCCCCTGGCCATTGACAGAGAGAAAATGAATCCTGCCAGCCTAAGCCCTGAGTTTGTGTTCCATGGGCTCTGACTCCTTCTGGTCAGCTGATTGCCTGCAGGTGCTGGGTAATTACCTTGTTTACATGTTACTCAGGCAACCTTCAGCTGTGGAGCTCTGCCTAGCCTGCCAGTCTGCTTTGCTAGGCTGCTTCTGCCCTTAAAGGAGCAGGCGCACCTTAGTGCCCTGTGATGCTTCTTATTCACGTTTTGTATCTACCTCTTTTTAGAGAGTCTGGATGGCTCCAGTAGTGATTCAATAACTTGCTACAGTCATTAGATCCCAAAGGATATGAGCAATGATGGAATATGGCTGATGGAGTAATGTCTGTTGCTGTTTTGTAAGCTCCTAAAGCAGGCACTGACTCTTAGTTGCCAGAACTGAACTCTATATTAATATTGGCCTTAAATTTACTAACAAAATACTGATGTGTAATATGGCTTTTCGCACTTACCTTCAGGTCATTCCTTTCTTGGAGTTAGCTTCAGAATAAAAAAATAAGGCTCCTGCTAGTTGGGTGCTATACATGCTGGAGTGTCAGTGTTTTGTGGCATGTGATAAGGTTAATATTATGTTCATGGCATACGTGAATTTAACTTTAGGATTACTGTGGTAGCTAAGTCTTCCTAGAGAGTAAGGAGATGTCTTGGAAAGAAGTCTGTGCCTAAGGTAGGTGTTGTTTGTTCCCCTTTTAAGTTTCCTTTTAACTTCGTAAACCTCATAGAAACTTGAAGATGGGGTCATTTAGCCGTTTGCGCAAGTGGATTGAATCTCAAACTGCTGTATCACTAAGGCCCCTGGCTTATGCCCATTTAAAGGCACCATGGGATACGATCCCTGATCCTAACCATTGTCTCCTTTCATGACACTCTTGTCATGTACATAAGAGGCATAACTTTTTAGATTGGGGCTCAGCAATATTTTATATGTAGATCATTTTTGTGGCTACTTTGCCATTTTATGGTGCTTTAAATTGGGTGCGTGTGTAATTGTGGCATAAACTAAACACGTTAATTGTAGCATAAATGTAACCTATACAAGGGGCCTAAGCAACTTGATGTTTAGGGCCATTGCAGTCTTGAGCCACCAAATGCAGGCCACTCCAGCAGTGGGCAAAAATGCCTTTTGCACAGGAAATGCCAGTGCTTTTATTTTTTAGTGAGAGCAAAGAAGACAGTCCTAAAACCTAAAATTAGGTACCTTTTTGGAAACTGCATATGGGGCCAGCACACCTAAAACCACCACTTTTTAAATTTAGTTGTGGACCTATATATGATCGTGGTGCTCATAACAGTATTGCAAGTATAGTCATTTAGATCAGGAGCTTCCAACTTATTTGACTCCATTGACCAGATGATCCACCTCCAGCAGTGGGGTAACATCTTGCTCACCTCTTTCTATTCCCGCCCCCCCCCCCCCCCCCTCCCCCCGCC